CCGGGGACTCAGGCGGGGCCGCGCTCCAGCGCGCGTGGCCACGTGCCCGGTGCCGCCCCTCCTCCCCGCGGCCACGGCCGTCGCCTCCTGAAATGCAAACTCTGCGGGAAATCACGCCCGGCCCCTCCCAGGGAGTCACGGCCTAGGGACCCCGCGCGGGGACAGACAGCAGGAGAGGGAACGGCTCACTCGCTCAGGACCCGGGCCACCCCCAGCTGCTCCAGCGCGGCGCAGACTCGTTCGTCGTCCTCCTCGGGAGAGCCCCCGGGGCCCTGCACGTCGGACCAGCCCGACTCGAAGGTTTCCTCGGGAGTCCGGGACACCGGAGGGCCCTGGGCCGACTCCGCCCCCACAAACCTCCCTGCGGGCATGGGAGGGAGACGTTGCCAGCCTGGCTCAGCCCTGCTTGCCCCCCAGCACACATCCTGCTCGCTGTCAGGGCCCAGTTTCCTGTTTTTCTTCCTTATTCTGGTCCTATTGGCCTGCAAATGGGAGGTGACAGCCGCCGGACTCCCAGTCCCGCTTGGGTTTGGCACAGGAGGGGACAGAAAGGTCAGCTGCACACACTGCACAGCAGGTGGGGGCTCCGTGGCGTTTGCGTGTACAGACACCAGCACGTGCCCCGGAGGAAGCCAAAGGGGAGGCACTGGCTGACCCACAGAATCCCACGTGTGCCCCACAGAGGGTCCTGGGATGTCTGCGGGTGATCAGGGCCCGGGCTCACCCAGGCCAAGGCAGAACTCCCGGGCGGTGAGGAAGCCAGTGTGGGCCTGGTCTAGACTTTCAAACACGGCCTCCAGCTGTTCCGGCGTGAGGGGCAGGTCGCTCTGCAAGCCCTGGTACAGCAAGGGTGGCAGGGATGAGAAGCTAAGGCCAGCCCTGGGCAGGGGCAGCCTTGCGGGCTGGGGACTCACCTGCAGGTCCTGCCGGGTGATGAAGCCCTTGGCCTCCTTGTCACACAGCAGGAACAGCTCCTGGGCCTGCTCCAGCATCGCCTGCCGCCCTGCGGAGCCCCCCTCCTTGTCCCCCTCCTCCTCCTGGGCCTCCCCAGCTCCAGGCTTCCCAGGGCTGGCCATGGGCGTGGGGGTCTTAGCGGCCCATTGGGTGCTGCGAAGCCAAGCGGAGCATCAGAAGAGATGAGAGAGGGGGACAGGGGAGCAGGGAGAGGGTGGGTACGAGTGTGGCTGACGGCTCATTCCCAGCACTGAGCTGAGGGGCCCTCCCTGCGCTGGGCGGGAAGTGGACGGAGAGCAAGGCAGAGGGTGGGGGGTGGGAAGGGCTGCAGGCCTGGGGAGTCGCTGGGGGGGCGTGGACCAGACATTTCAGGAGGCTGGAACCCAGGGAGAGGCTGTGGCCCCGGAAGGGAGCCAGTGCAGGAGAGGAAGAGCTGGGGGGCAAACTAGGGGCCAGGCATGGAAGACCTTGTGACGAAGGGAGGTGGGCTCCTGGCAGCTGGGAGGAGAGAGCCTGGGTGAGGAAGTGGTCAGTGGGGGGGGGAGCCCCCCACCTAGAGCTGGGGATCCTGCGTTGGGGCTGACCCCATGGGAGGACCCAGTGATCCTGGCGAAGTCCTTAGCCCCTGGCCTGGCTCTGCAGCCCTGGCCTCCTGACAGCTGGCAGACGGTGTAAGCTCCTCCCTTCCTGCCACCGGCCCTCAGGCCCCACAGGGACAGGTGCCAAGTTCCAGCCTCAGGCACCAGGTATCTCTGATAGCCCTTGTCCAGAACACCCCCAGGTCCTGGGCTTAACACCCCCTAGCACCTGGGCCTTTGTCCTCCCCCAGATTTGCCCCTCCACGTCCTGGAACCTCCACGGAGCCTCCGTCCCCACCTCCTGGCTGGGACGCCCCGCCCCCTAGTCACAGCCAGCTGTCTTCCCAGAACGTCCTGACGCCGGATTTCCCCAAGCTCCTTCCTAGTGCGGGGACTCTGGGACTCTGGGACTCTCTGGCCGCAGTCCATGCCTGTGATCCTCCCCCCACCCATATACCTGGGGGTGGGGCGATCTCCAAAGAGGGCAGGTCAGAGGAAGCCGTAGGTGACAGGGGGGACACGAGGGACCGGACCCATTGGGTGCTGCGAAGCCAAGCGGAGCATCAGAAGAGATGAGAGAGGGGGACAGGGGAGCAGGGAGAGGGTGGGTACGAGTGTGGCTGACGGCTCATTCCCAGCACTGAGCTGAGGGGCCCTCCCTGCGCTGGGCGGGAAGTGGACGGAGAGCAAGGCAGAGGGTGGGGGGTGGGAAGGGCTGCAGGCCTGGGGAGTCGCTGGGGTGGCGTGGACCAGACATTTCAGGAGGCTGGAACCCAGGGAGAGGCTGTGGCCCCGGAAGGGAGCCAGTGCAGGAGAGGAAGAGCTGGGGGGCAAACTAGGGGCCAGGCATGGAAGACCTTGTGACGAAGGGAGGTGGGCTCCTGGCAGCTGGGAGGAGAGAGCCTGGGTGAGGAAGTGGTCAGTGGGGGGGGGAGCCCCCCACCTAGAGCTGGGGATCCTGCGTTGGGGCTGACCCCATGGGAGGACCCAGTGATCCTGGCGAAGTCCTTAGCCCCTGGCCTGGCTCTGCAGCCCTGGCCTCCTGACAGCTGGCAGACGGTGTAAGCTCCTCCCTTCCTGCCACCGGCCCTCAGGCCCCACAGGGACAGGTGCCAAGTTCCAGCCTCAGGCACCAGGTATCTCTGATAGCCCTTGTCCAGAACACCCCCAGGTTCTGGGCTTAACACCCCCTAGCACCTGGGCCTTTGTCCTCCCCCAGATTTGCCCCTCCACGTCCTGGAACCTCCACGGAGCCTCCGTCCCCACCTCCTGGCTGGGACGCCCCGCCCCCTAGTCACAGCCAGCTGTCTTCCCAGAACGTCCTGACGCCGGATTTCCCCAAGCTCCTTCCTAGTGCGGGGACTCTGGGACTCTGGGACTCTCTGGCCGCAGTCCATGCCTGTGATCCTCCCCCCACCCATATACCTGGGGGTGGGGCGATCTCCAAAGAGGGCAGGTCAGAGGAAGCCGTAGGTGACAGGGGGGACACGAGGGACCGGAGTCATCGCCCCTCAGGCCGCGCCGTCACCGGAAACTGCGCTGCGGCTGTGCCCCGGGGAGCCGGGAGGACAGGGCCGGGTGGGGCCCGCCGGCGGCCCGCGCTCCCCGCCCCTCCGGAGGCCGCTTTCGTCCCCGCTGCCGGAGTCCCCGACCGACGCCCCATGGCGGGATCGTGAGCGCC